TTTGGCAAAATAAAACAGTATTTTATACTACTAATTAAAATAAATTATTAAAAACATAACAAGGTAAAGTGATTGCTAAATATTCATTTACTTACCACTTCTTACTTGCTATTTAGGAAAAAATTTTTGGAAATATTAAAATTATAACAAGGTTGATTATTATCTTCTATACATCTTTTTGAGTGGAGAAGACCAATAATTGATTCAGTGGAGAGTTTGTTGTGCTGCTTACTTTTCGATATTGACGATAATATTCGTTCCACGTTTGCAGATGAGTGTGGTATACTCAGAATATTAAAAACAAATGAACAAATATTTTCAAATATTTGTAAACCATCCCCGCATTCCAAACTAACACTTGCCCATAATTTTTCAATGGTGTGGTGCCACTAAACGACGCAATTTCTTTCTATTCCGAAGCAACCGCATTCCGTTTCAAAAGTTTGATAATTTTGCTGTCTTATAAATTAGGAAATTGTCTTCATATTGGTACTATTCACGATACTTTTTTGACATTTTGAGAAAATGCCCCCAAATCCAAATTTTAAATTTCTTTGCTTAACAACACTATGTACGAACGAAGCAATAAATAATATACTAATATATCTCGGTACAGTACAGTAGATTCGCCAAACAACCGGAAGTAATTCTTTTCTCAAACAATAATAAACTCTACTGTAGGGTATTTCGGTGTAATATATTTTGTGTGTATTGAGAGTTTGAGAGGCCACTTATGATTTTTTGGGAAACCCCTTGCCAATCTTCCGAGCCCGAAAAACCGGTTGCTTCACGGGAACCTGTCGACCTGGCCCGTGGATCTCCAAAGTAAGATGTGGTCCAGGGTAAGGCCAAGGAGAACGCCGCCGGAAATAATTATACCAGTGATATAAAAAGTATGCTGGCCGACTGCATGAAGGAGATGATTGCATTCCGCTCCTTCTTGACTCCTTCGAGTAGAGAATTGCGGTGTTGGAGCAGCGTCAAGTGGATCCTGATGCAACTGGTAGGATGGGTTTGGAGCGCACCATATCTGAGCTGCGCGCCGAGGTTAACGACAGCGACCAGGAGGCGTCGATGTCCGACCTAGAGAGATCAGCGGGTTGCCCGAAGAGAGGGGCGTCAGCGTGGAGCAAAGCGTCACCATGCTGGCCGTACGGCTGGGAGTGACTCTCGACAGGCGGGATTTGGTGTTCACAGAGCGTGTGGGCGCGCCACTCGCCGAGGCACGGGGCCGTCCGCGCCGTGTGGTGGTGCGCCTGGCGTGCTGCCAGCTGCGCGATGACCTCTTGACGGCCGCGCGTGTGCGCCGCTGGATCACTGTTGCGGAGGGCGCCTCCACGGCAGCGGATTCTTAGGACGGCGCCCCGGACACCGCTGAGGAGGGTGGCCCGCCGGCCACTGCCATCTGGGGCGGTGCTCGGGTCTACATCAACGAGCACATCACGCGCGCCAACCGCCAGCTTATATAACTCCAAGCAGGCCTTGCCAGAATATCAGCGCTGGCACAACACAATGTCGTATCAGCCAACGCTGAGGCAGGGTCTTAGTTAGCCCTACTGTATGAGTTCCTTTTAACATGTTGTATTTTTAAGGGTTTATATAAAAATATTTTCCAACTTTCTTTTTGACGTGACAACGTCTTAAATTAGGTTGCGGCTGGGAGTCACTTATGAAAAAGTGTAACGCTCGGTAACGTTACGATGAGTCTCTCGTATTAAGTTTAAGTTTACATGTACAATGTTTTAGTAAACAAAATATATTTCTATAGTTAAAATTTGTGCAATTCTTATTTTCATTCAATTCCTTGTTCCTATTGTGCAATTTAATTATATTCATATCAATAAATATTCTACCGAGAAAAAGACGTTGTCACGTAAAATCTTCGCCCGTAAAACCGACTTTACAGGCAACCATTTTTTTTTCTTTCTTTTAACACCCCCGACCGGCACAGCGGTGCGGCGTTGAAAGCCGTGTATCGAAATCGTTTCAGTTCGACAGACTTCGGCACGGTGTTTGTGTGCGTGCGACTAGACGTATGCGTGTGACTAGCTGCTAACTGCTCATAACTGATTCTATCTCTTTTAGACATAATGCTAGGTGAGACAGCGTGCTTTTTGGCCGCGTCCACGAGTGAGTTTGAGCCCGCGACTTGTTGAACCTTAACGTGCATGTATTCGGTACGACTGTACGAAGCTTGCATGAAAGATTATAAAAATATTTTGAACAATATTAACTTCTTATTTATTCAATAAAAAAAATTTCCTTATCCGTCACCATGACCGTCAAAGTCCGAATGCACCCACCAACCACGACCATGACCAACGCGGCGTTGTTTTGCTGTTAACAAACTCTCGCCGTAGATAATTGCGTGGTGCATTCGGCCAGCGGCGAGCAGCCCAAAGGCCACTAGTCGATGCAGGTATACTTTGACGGGCACTCACACAAACGTGGCTTACGTCAATCCACCCGGCCTCCGACCGACAACCCGCCCCGCACTCGCTTAAGCCGATCCTGGGTTCTCCGTTCACAGCGTCACCTAACTATTCCCACGGACCGCGGTCCGAGCGGCTAACCAGCTGACTTGCTCCCGTACCTACCAGGTAAACCAACTCCCCGATCTACCCTTCACTCTCTGGGCGTAATGGCGAGATCCAGTTATGAGTCGCCGCTCGTTACGCCTGGGTTCCTACCCTCTCGCTATGATGCCGCGGAGCACCCCCTCCCTGGCAGTCACAAAAGGTACCCCTAGGGGCTAGCAGGCGAGCTCGGCACCGCCGACCAGTCCTCTCATTAGTTTAATATTTCTGCAGCCGTCCTTTTTGTCTAAAAATCGTCCCTTTTCAGATTTCAAATCGTCCGAAACACGATGCAGGTACTGGCAACACTGCCAGTAGACTAGCCATGATGATACACTTCTTAGCCTATTCGAGTGCTGTCAGCGTTCAGAGCGGTCAAACTATGGTAAGGGCTTAAGCTTATCTAACGATTAAAATCTTTGCTGATTAGTGTTTCTTTTCCTTTTTCGTTTCTTTTATTCGGCTTTAATCAGCCTATTCAAAAATTGTATAGATGAATCACAGAAAATTCGCTGTTTTCTTAACAAAAGAAACGAAAAATAAACGGATCTTGATTTTAATCTTAAAGAGCGATTTGAAAGTTGTTTTTGATATTGAGCTCTCTCTTAAAGAGGATGCTAGAGGCAACAGTCAAACAGCCGCGGCTTGTTAAACAAGATGAATCAACGAAACAATCCTGTCACTCCCGATTCCTTTTGTAGTAGGTTTTATTTCTTTTTTACTAATATAAGGTGAGGTTTTAAATATTTTTATATTGCTTTGGAAAATACATTATTGAGGACTCAAATCGATATGGAAAAACATCATTCAAAACTTTAAAACTTGGTAAATTCAATAGGGCTATCCACCCCCCTTTATTTAAAGTAACTAATTAGGTTTTTTTCTTGATGTGTAACATCTTTCCTCGCGCTTTCCTGTAATATGTGGGAGTGATTTCGTGAACTGGGACGGAAGTGTGTAACAGGAAGTCGCGAAAGCGCGCGCTATTTGATTTGATTTTAGAAAATAATATTCAAATGGCTTATTCCTTTTATAGTAGGTTTAATTTCTTTTTTTACTAATATAAGGTGAGGCTTCAAATTTTACACATCATATGCGACTACTGTAAGGCTCGCTCGTTTTATTTATAAGTCGATTTTTAAGTCGAATGAAAAAGAAACTAAACTTTCAATGCTACCAACCTAACCAATGAAGTTTGACAGTTACGTTGTCATCCACCGGATCGATATTATCGACAGCTGTCTTACTTGTGTCAATAGTATGAGTGTCAGTGTCAGAGGTATAGCAACGCCCTGCTCAAAAACAAACATTACAAACTACTTAAATAAACATTGACTGTTGATAATAAGGCTCAATAAAGTGCAGATCATTGGACAAAAATCAAGTAAGTATAAATAATTATTCGTCTACAGTATTTCAGTATTTAAGCCAGATTTACATTGATACAGTGGCTGGCGACATTTTTACACGCCTAAAAACGGTGCCAATAACTGGACTGGATTTCATTTACGATACATCTTTCCTATCGCTTTCCTGCAACTTGTGGGAGTGATTTCGTGAAATGGGACGGAAGTGTGTAACAGGAAGTCGCAAAAGAGCGCGCTATTTGATTTGATTTAAGAACATAATGTTCAAATGGCTTATTCCTTTTGTAGTAGGTTTTATTTCTTTTTTTACTAAATATAAGGTGAGGTTTCAAATGTTACACATCATACGCGACGACTGTAAGGCTCGCTCGTTTTTTTCTATGATTCTGCGAACGAATGTCCCATCTCCTCCTCATTTCTACATAAATGTATAAATTGTAATGTGTTATCATCACCCCACTTTCGAGACATTTTCTTGTCGAAAGTTTCAGCAAATCAATATCACGTGGTGACATTTATCGGCGGCGCCAGCGACTGGCGTGAACGTGTTTAAAAAGATCCAGTGACGCTGGCAAGGGGGGTCTTCGTTCTACTCCATGCCAGCGCGGGACTGGCGCCAATTTTTTTTACATGGATCCAGTGCTGGCATGCCCGCAGCACTGGCACCACTGGCTAATGTATCAATGTAAATCTGGATTTAGCTTTTTTAAATTTTTAGGTTAATATCTGTCACTGCTTAAACAATATATTTTATGAAATTAGTCTTTTTTATGATCTTACAAGTAAAATATTTCAGTATTTAGCTTTTTTAAATTTTCAGGTTAATTTCTGTCACTCCTTAAAAAATTCTTCTATTAAATTTGATCTTTTTTATGATCTTACGATTTAAAGAAGAAGAAATTGATTCTAGGTGTTTAGGAATTTTGTCCATTAATATTTTTAATTTTGATTGAAAAAAAAAGAAAAATACTTGTTATTATTCTCCAATATTAATAATTCTAATTTGATTTCAATAATTTCATAACTTGCAGGAATGGTTAAATCCAGAGCAGAATACATGAAAATTTACCGGAAGAAAAAACGTGAAGAAAAATTGAAAACTGGAAAGGTAGAGCCAAAAAAAATTGCAAAAAGTTCAACTCAGCGTACCAGGGATTTTCGGGCACGTGCAGCAAACTCAATTCTCTCACAGACACGAACAGCTGACTCAACTATTGCTTTATCTAATCTGGTTGTCAGTTCTGCAACTTTACGAGCGCCATCGTTGTCATTTTCTCCTACTCCGTCTACATCAACAGCGACTGCATGTAATACAAGCCCTACAGAAATTCACCCACATCCTGCCGAAGTTGAACAAGAAAGATTGGTTGGAGAAGATGTTGAACAAACGGAAAATGTTGTACATAACTCGACTGTTAGTCAGTATCACAACTATCAAAAAATCAGTACCGCTCATGACGAGTTGAAAACAAAATTTTTGGACAATAATTTTGGTGTAGTATGCAATGTTTGTGATCGTCTATGTTACGAAAGTGATATGAAAAGCTTACCTCCATGTGCAAGAGAACTTATATCGGCTGAATTTCCAGATCTCAATTTTGAAACTGCTTGTATCTGCAGTACGTGTCATTTGGCTCTCAGTAAAAATAAAACTCCGACACTATCAAAATCACATGGGTTTAAATATCCATCTAGGCCACTTCATTTGCCTGAACTTGACTTGATTTCTGAGCGACTTATTTCGCCACGATTACCATTCATGACCATCGGGAGACTTCCACACGGAAACGGCCAGTATGGAATTTTGGGCCAAGTAGTCAACGTTCCAGTATTTGTATATAATAAGGTAAGAATTCTTCCACGTGATCTTGATGATGACTATGCAATTAATGTTTATTTAAAACGTAAAAAAATACGCAAATCCAGTTTTCTAGTGGGTTATGTCAAAAAACGTGTAATAAAAACGGCTTAAATATTTAATTAACAAAGAACTTTATAAATTTTATGGAATCACAATCGATGAGTCGCTGTTTAATGCTAAAGACCTTTCCATAGATCAAAGAGATCGTGACGGATTCAGTGAAGTAATTGAAATTGAAGAAAGCCTCACAGCACAACAACAAACTTTTCTTTGGAATGAGAATAAATATAAAGAAAATATAACTAGAAAAAATTCCACGCGGACCAGGCAGCAGACGGGACTCGAACCCGCACCCTTCGCAATCCGGGCGAATGCACTGACCAATTATGCTACCGCGGCCCTCACGGACCGCGTCGAAATTCTTTCTAGCTATTCTTAAGCTGCAAGGCAGCGCCATCTCTTCGCATTATAGGTAAACCCACAATGTCAAATGAATACTTTTACAAGTATTAAACATTTGAAAGAAGAAATAGCAATTATAGTTATAATTTTTATTATTTTTAAAGCATGTAACTGCTTGATGTTTAAATCTAAAGAAAATATAACTAGAAAAAATTCCACGCGGACCAGGCAGCAGACGGGACTCGAACCCGCACCCTTCGCAATCCGGGCGAATGCACTGACCAATTATGCTACCGCGGCCCTCACGGACCGCGTCGAAATTCTTTCTAGCTATTCTTAAGCTGCAAGGCAGCGCCATCTCTTCGCATTATAGGTAAACCCACAATGTCAAATGAATACTTTTACAAGTATTAAACATTTGAAAGAAGAAATAGCAATAGTGAGGGCCGCGGTAGCATAATTGGTCAGTGCATTCGCCCGGATTGCGAAGGGTGCGGGTTCGAGTCCCGTCTGCTGCCTGGTCCGCGTGGAATTTTTTCTAGTTATATTTTCTTTAGATTTAAACATCAAGCAGTTACATGCTTTAAAAATAATAAAAATTATAACTATAATTGCTATTTCTTCTTTCAAATGTTTAATACTTGTAAAAGTATTCATTTGACATTGTGGGTTTACCTATAATGCGAAGAGATGGCGCTGCCTTGCAGCTTAAGAATAGCTAGAAAGAATTTCGACGCGGTCCGTGAGGGCCGCGGTAGCATAATTGGTCAGTGCATTCGCCCGGATTGCGAAGGGTGCGGGTTCGAGTCCCGTCTGCTGCCTGGTCCGCGTGGAATTTTTTCTAGTTATATTTTCTTTAGATTTAAACATCAAGCAGTTACATGCTTTAAAAATAATAAAAATTATAACTATAATTGCTATTTCTTCTTTCAAATGTTTAATACTTGTAAAAGTATTCATTTGACATTGTGGGTTTACCTATAATGCGAAGAGATGGCGCTGCCTTGCAGCTTAAGAATAGCTAGAAAGAATTTCGACGCGGTCCGTGAGGGCCGCGGTAGCATAATTGGTCAGTGCATTCGCCCGGATTGCGAAGGGTGCGGGTTCGAGTCCCGTCTGCTGCCTGGTCCGCGTGGAATTTTTTCTAGTTATATTTTCTTTAGATTTAAACATCAAGCAGTTACATGCTTTAAAAATAATAAAAATTATAACTATAATTGCTATTTCTTCTTTCAAATGTTTAATACTTGTAAAAGTATTCATTTGACATTGTGGGTTTACCTATAATGCGAAGAGATGGCGCTGCCTTGCAGCTTAAGAATAGCTAGAAAGAATTTCGACGCGGTCCGTGAGGGCCGCGGTAGCATAATTGGTCAGTGCATTCGCCCGGATTGCGAAGGGTGCGGGTTCGAGTCCTGTCTGCTGCCTGGTCCGCGTGGAATTTTTTCTAGTTATATTTTCTTTACATTTAAACATCAAGCAGTTACATGCTTTAAAAATAATAAAAATTATAACTATAATTGCTATTTCTTCTTTCAAATGTTTAATACTTGTACAAGTATTCATTTGACATTGTGGGTTTACCTATAATGCGAAGAGATGGCGCTGCCTTGCAGCTTAAGAATAGCTAGAAAGAATTTCGACGCGGTCCGTGAGGGCCGCGGTAGCATAATTGGTCAGTGCATTCGCCCGGATTGCGAAGGGTGCGGGTTCGAGTCCCGTCTGCTGCCTGGTCCGCGTGGAATTTTTTCTAGTTATATTTTCTTTAGATTTAAACATCAAGCAGTTACATGCTTTAAAAATAATAAAAATTCTGAGAATAAATATCTTTGCCTTGCTCCTGGTGAGAATACCTTGCCTAAGTGTATCTTATTTGATGAACAGTGTGAAGAATTGTCATTTTCATCAATCTACATGGGCCAATTTAGAACTTTGAAAGAAGAGATTAAAGTTTTCATGACAGCGACAAGTGAGTTACGGCGGCTGATCGACGAGGAGTTACTCCCACGCATTTACTCTGTATGGCTATGAAAATGTTGCGTTTACGTACACGTGATACCTTACAAGTAGCATTTATCGGCAATTCAGTACAATTATACGAGCACAATTAGAGTCTACAGATTACATAAATAATTGTATCGATAATAATAATCTAGCATTTTTATCCCATATTCCAAATATTATTGGGCAGCACGTAAATAAGATCTGTTCGCAATGATGAGACAATTTGAAAACCAACATTTTTGATGTGTAACATCTCTTTCCTCTCGCTTTCGTGCAATTTGTGGGAGGGATTATGTGAAGTGGGACGGAAGTGTGTTACAGGAAGTTAAGGAAGCGCGCGCTATTTGATTTGATTTAAGAACATAATGTTCAAATGGCTTATTCCTTTTGTAGAAGGTATTATTTCTTTTTTTACTAATATGAAGTGAGGTTTCAAATGTTACACATCATACGCGGCTACTGTAAGGCCCGCTCGTTTTTATTATTGTCCCTCATTTCCTGCAAACGGTTTATAAGATATCGCTCTGGTCAAGATAATTTCAAACATATAAGTATATCTTATAAACCGTTTGCAGTAAATAATGATGCCAGAGCAATCAAACAATACTATAAATTAAGAAAACAATTAATTTAAATAATATGGTCGGATCTCTTTTTCCATTGAATGCGTCGGTCGTCGCGGCGCTAAGAGCTTACTCCTCAGACAGCCACAATTTTCACTGTTGCATGCGTGGTATTATGAATTTCAATTATTAAAATTTAAATACCCGTAAATGAAATGTAAAAAAGACAATGCCAGCTTCTGACCCACCATTTACACTGATATTATTTTTTTTTTTAAATATATACCACTTTTTTTCGCATACTGATTTAATTATTACTATGTAAAACTTCCGGATACGAAATAAAAATAAAAATAATGTTGACTGCTGTTTCCGTTGAGAGAAGAACGAGAACATGGCATATGCGTTTTGTTGCACGACAAACAATGAAATACTTATCATTCAAGCTTTCGAAAAATATCTTTTTCTTTTTTAACATTATGGATCTAATACGCATTACGGTTGTAAATATTATTTATTTATTATTATAAATAAGTTTAACAATTTTTGTACTTTTAATTTTCTATGCGCATACTTACATATTATTTAGTTGTAGTACCTACATGTGAAGTGACACTAAATTACCTTCTATGGATTGTTAACCTTTTGTTTGACATTTCCTTATGACTTGTGCGGTGCGACAAAGTGAACGAACGAACGAAGACGAATCGAGTGTTTTGGAAAATAATTATTGTTTTGAATACGGAATCGATCACGACTGCTTAACGACCCTGTGGCTTTGTTTTTAGGAAACCGATTTATTGTTTTTGATTTGGAACTATGTTGAGATGCAATAATTGCTTTTTAACATTTTAAGTGCGGCTGTCGAACCAGTCCGACAAAAAAATATCTCTCTCAACGCCGACTACCGCACCAGTACGACAAGACTAGTTGTACTAGTTTAGACCTTATAATTGAAACAAATAATATCAGAATGGTTTGTGTCGTATGTCAAATGAATTAGAAAGAACCAACCTATTCATTCAAAGATTTACAGTCTACAAGAACAATACTCATTCATGTGACCACCATTTAAAAATATTCGTGCTCCTCCTCTCCTGTGCTGTTGACGTACGAGTACTTTTCAGTGTGTTTTGTTTGTGAAATCCTACAAAGAAGTTAAAAAATGGGTAAGTTATCAATTCTTTATACATTTTTTTTATATTTAAAAAAAAACCGTGTACTAATCCATGCTTTAGTTTTTGAATAAATCGAAGACAAACAAAAACAACCTAAAATTTTTTCCTACTATCCATTTTTCATGATTTTTTTTCTATTTTATTACTTTATTATTTTATCCTAGTTTTAATTCAAACTTACAGCCAATTTACGAAAGAAGTTAGATTTTACAAAACATTTGTACTTATAAAGATACTTTCACAATAAAATTCAAATATTATAGGCAAACCGCAAAATGTTCGCAAGACGCACGCACACATGCATAACATGACGTTTAGGTGTGTGCGTGAATTGCTCCGGCTATTGAACAAGGGTGTTCTTTTTATCTACTGTTTTGAAGGAAGTGTTTGTTCTGATTTGAAGATAATTATTTATTGAGATTTTATGTTCAACTATGAACGTACTTAGGTACCTATATTTTTTAGCATATGTTAGGTGATTAGATTTGTCCAGTAGTGATGCTGTAGCATCGATAGGTATTAATTTTTTCTGAGTGTCGTTCTTACAATTATGAATCTGTTTTCAATTTCATAAAGTTTATCGAAAAATGAAGAATCAATTTTATAAATTCTTTTTTTTTTATATAAAAGGTAGATTCCGGCAAGTTAAAATCACTCATAATTGCGTTTCTCGGCTTGGTTTACAATTTTAAGTTTATCATTCAACAAAATCACTTTAATTTTTCGTTTTAACATTTTGAGGGAACAACGTAAACCGCAGGTAGGGCACAAGCGCACATGTGCGCTGCAGCCATTGTCGTTTTAGATGGAATTACAAACAATTCCATCGAAAATTTAA